ACCCGTCCAGAAATGGTCCAAGCCCATCCCATCCGTTTCGTTTTAGCCAAAACGACGTAGTATCAATGCCAAACTACGTCGTTTCGGTATTCCCCCATCATTAAACGACCAAGTTGGCCCCAGTCTCTCATTTAATTAAGCCATAACCTAATCCCCTTTTCCTCTCAAATCGCCGTCTGCCTCCACAGCAGCTCCGCCGCCCGAAAATCGCCTTACGGCAGCGGAGCACCTCCAAATCCCGCCAAATCTTGACCCTACGACCTACATCACCTCCTCGTCCTTGTCCCACTGTTAATTTCACCAAAAGACCACCCGATTTTGCTGAATTTCAGATCCAGAAAATAAAATTCCGAACTTTTTCCATTTTTGCCCAAATTTTCGGTTTAAACCCTCAATTCATATCAAAACCTATATGAATTCCTCAGTTTTCCAACAAGGGAGTCTTTTTGAATATCCGAAGCTTTCTCTCATGGATTTGGTCGAATTTCGGGAGAATAGCCTTCGAGTGTTCCAATTTCTTCGAGCCTCTGTTTCACTTCTTTTGGCTCATGGTGGGGATTGTTGCATGAATTATTAGCTACGAACGAAAGTTCGGCTAATATTCGTGTCACAATTCTCACCGTTTGGTCAAGCTTTGGATTCACCGGAGTTCAAGTTCGAGTCGGAGTCGTCTTTGTTCTTGAGGACTTCGAAGTTTATCTGGGCTCCAATGGTACTCTCTTATTCCTTTTCTTTCTCACCTTAAGCTCAATTGTTAGCCATGAACTCTTCCTCCTTTTCGTTAGCCTAAGTCAGAATCGCTCGGCATTAATTTAGTCTTAATTTACATTTTTCACTCTTTTAAAAGTGTTTTATTAAAAAAAAAAGAGAAAGAAAAGAAGGATTGAATAATTGTGATGTCTCAATTTTGATTTGGGCTGCCTTCTCTTTAAGTTTGTTTTGGATTGGGCTTGGAGTTTTGTCAGTACCAACCCATTAAATGAAGGCTTAATTTTAGAAGCCTGTCCGTTGGCCAAGTTTGGGGCTGGGTCATTGGGTCAAATTGACCCATACCCATATGATCTGTTGAAGGTAAAATTTAGGGGAAACTAAGGGTAATTGGGGTAATTCACCTAAGGAATCTCTCAGTAACTACCTAGGAAGCTTCTCAGAAGCTGGAAAAATAGCCTTACTTGGTTAGCAAGTCAAAAAAATGAAGGACTAAGTAGCAAAAAGGAAAATTCGAGAAGGACTAAAAAGAAATAACTGAACCCTTAAGGCTGCCCTAGTAACTTGCCTATAAAGGCATAGTTACTTGAGGCTCAATGCAGATTTTGAAGAGCTAAAAAATCCAGCAAAAAGAGAGACGGTTGTGAATTAAAGAATAAGCTACTGTTTCATTAAATTTTCAGTGATTTTTGATCCCTTTTCAACTTCTGAAACTATTTGAATTCATCCGAGTGAAGAAATGGCTTGAACTTGGTTGTCGAAGTTTAGATTTAAAGCTTTGTTAGGCTGTTTGTTTGGTTTGAATCTTATATCCTGAGCTGCTATCTGTCATTCTGGGTTTGGAGCTGTTTTACAGGTTGTTTTGGTGCTAATTTCTACTGTTGTACCTGTTGATCCTGTTCTACTTTGTTGAGCCCTTCCTTTTCCTCCTATTTTGCTTTCCCAGGTACTTCTTTAGCTCCTGATTGAGGCCTGATTGTCAAGCATGTAAAAGGTTGGAAGATTTGTTAAATGAAGACTCCACTTGAAGCTGATTTCCCCTTTTCCTTTTACTATTTCTATGTTCCATAATTGGACTTCAAGTTATAGATGTTAGTTAGGGTCTTTTCCTTTGAAATTGGGTGTGTGAAAGTGACTTGATGTGGTATTTTGCATCTGTATTGATAAGTAAACAATGGACTCTAATTATTCATTTTCATATTTGATGTCGTATGTCATTGTTATTTGGATTCGAATCTGTTTAAGTGTAATAACTCAGGCTGTATGGACTGTTAAATGGATCATCTGATTAGGAAATAGTTTAGCAAATCTGTTCTTCCATGGTCTGAAATATAGTGTTTGGAGATTATGTGTTGCTGTGCTTTGTAAAAAATTATTGATGGTTTTAAGGTCATTCGTTAATTTACAGTCACTTGATTGAAATGGCTTGGCTAATGACCTTAATGGTCCAGCCATGTACAGAAATTACTTTGGCATAGTTGTAGGCATGTATAGGTTAATTTTAATGTTAAACTGTCCACTTGAAAATCCTTAAAGTTTGTTTATGTTGTTGTATGCATGAAAAAGGGTATGTAATTGAAGTTTGAGGTCCATGCAAATGCTCATTAATTTAGCTTGAATAGTTTCAAATTTGTGGGAACGTGTAACTTGCATTGCTGGGTTTGATGTTGATATCCCTCTTGATTTTTCAATACGGAATGCGCACTTGGAGACTTGAACTTGGGTCTCGTTCTCTTGTCCTCTTTGTTTCTCAAAGATGCGGGCCAATCTTGAGGCCTGGGACGTGACGCTGCCTGAAAACAAAAACCTGCTAGACCCATCATGTCCGGGCAAGCCTTTTAAATCTATCCATTTGAAGGTTGTTGTTGCCCCAAAACTATTTCCCTTGAATAATTGGCCCTTTCCCCTCTTCTAAGAGCAATTCCTTTTAATTAGTTCATATATGTGTGTAATACAACAGAATTCAATCTTCTTTAGCTTTGATTAATTAGATTATCAAGTAGATTGAGGCAGCCATATTAGATAAAACAGTTAGTTATGGCCCTCCAAATTTTAGTTTGAATATCCTTTTAAAATGGAATTAAGGTGCGCCTCGCCAAACAAAACCTCAAATGCGTGGCCCTCATTTAACTGCTTGGCCCTCGCAAAGTTAACAACGCGTAGTTGCTTTAGGCGCGTTATTTTAATAACATTACCTTCCTAAATTCGGGTGTGCATTTCATGTGACCCAAATCCAAATCTTAACAACGTTAAATAAAATGTGTCTCGGACTGCGGGTGCATTTCATGTGGCGCGGTCCAAAGACGTATTTTAGGTGACGTTGAAATCTTCCTCAAAAAAATTAAAGGCGGTTAATAATTTAAAATTATACCATAGGCTAAAACATGTATTAAAATCAGATAATAGACCAATTATAATAGTTTAAGCGACCGTGCTAGAATCACGGAATCCGGGGGTGCCTAACACATTCCCCCGGTTTAACAGAATTCCTTATTCGGAATTTCTAGTTCGCAGACTTCAAAAGGAAAGTCAAATTTTCCTCGATTTGGGATTTAAAATAAACCGGTGACTTAGGACACCAGAAAACAAACCATCCCAAGTGGCGACTCTGAATAAAATTGAATAAATAATCTCATTTCGAATAATGTCACTTGAATTGGAAAAACTCCCTATATACTACCTTTCGGGGTGTGTAAAAAAGGAGGTGTGACAGCTCTGGCGACTCCGCTGGGGACCAAACCTAGAACTTCTAGTTCAGGGTTTAAGAATTCGAGCTTAGAATAGCTGTTATATTTGGCTTTATCTGATTTTCCTACATGATTCATCCTAATGTACTAAATGCTTTACCGCTTTGATATTTGGTGAATTGTACATATAAACTGCTACGAAACCCTTCCTCTCTTTGAGTCTTCTACATCATGGAGAAGGGTTCACTTCGTGTGACTTCTCTTCTGTCTAGAGTCTTATTCCATTTTAGAACGAGGTTCAGACAAGTTGCTAAGCCGGCGAAGCTTCTGTATTCCTGGTACGCTGTCCCCCCTCGGCTCGAGTTGTCCGCTCGGGTAAGCCAGGTCTAGAACAATAAACCCAGGTTTTAAACCTAGTATAACAAAGCCTCATGCCGGATCCCTAGTAGGAACGTTTGTTTGCATCACGTGCATTTGACTTAGGAGACTCAACACAGGGGTTGGGTATGTCTAGGACAGCTGTACCTGAAATGAAAAGACCATCCTGATGCATCCTACTTGCTACTTGTGCATTTATTTGTTTCGGCTTGCATGTTGACCGGCTTCTAGAATAGGGAAAGAAAAATCAGAAAAACAAGGAAAAGAAAAAAAAAGATTGAGAGGTAGGTATTTAGAAAATTCTGAAACTGTGCCGGAAAAAAAAAGGAAAAGAAAGGCCTTGTTTTCAAAAAATAGTTGGTTTTGTCAGATCTGCCCGAACTACGCCAGTTTGATTCTCACCGGATGTGGGATACGTAGACAACCCCCATCGGGTCCAACTTCCCTTTTTGCAAAAATAGCCCAAAAACAACAAAATTTTAATTTTTGTCACAAATAAGTCGGGTGATGTCATTCTTGCTTAAAATAAGCCGAATGTCCCCAAAAGGGCACCGGAAGGCTGTTTTTGCAAGAACAACCACCTTAGGTCATTTTTTACGGTTAACGGGCACAGCCTTAAAATCTTCTTCCCCGTAGTGCTAAAAGGTCATATCTGCAAAGCCGGGTTTTTGTTTGGAAATGAAAATTTTGAAAAAATGGTGTTACTTTTTCTTTTAGGTCAAAATGAGTTATTAAATCACCTTAATCACTACTAGAAAATAGGCGTATGGCAACGCTGTCAAAATCGTTGCAGTAGATAGGAAACCGTTGCAATAAATCTATCGCAACGGTTTAGGGGCCCGTTGCATCAGCTCGCGTTGCAATAGATATATGCCAACGGGTAACGGTTTCGAAACCGTTACAATAACATATCTATTGCAACGTTCCGTTGCAATAAATAGGGAACGTTGCAATAAATAGGGCTACTGCAACGGTCATTTTACTCTAATGGAACGGGTACAAATCGTTACAACATCTGCTTTGTATCGACATTTGAGGCTATTGCAACGATTGTTCCCATCTATGCAACAGTTTGACAAGGCCTATTGCAATGGTTTATTCAACCTATTATACTGGTTTGTTTAGACTATTGCAACGTTTACAAATAACTATTTACCTATATCAGTTTTATAAATTACGGAAAACTATTCATAAACAGAATTATAATATGAAATATTCAAGTAGTGATATCCGTAAAGGCAAAATATATAATATACTTTGAGAATTCAAGAGTTAGCATACATAAGTCTGTAAAATGTTCAAAAATAAAAGATTCCTAGCAACAATCAACCAATACTGTAGAAGGTCTTCACTGGATTCGTCTACCCTTTTATTCATTTGCGCACCTACAAAAGAAAATAAATTAATATTCAGAAACATTTCACAAAAGAATTTATTCTCTACATATATATTTCTAGTGTGTATTATATCTACATATTACCAGTCAACTTCACAGACACTACAAAAGTATTTAAATTGATCATAACATATGCTTTATTAGCTTATTAGAACAAAACAGAATCCAATAACCACAAAGCACTCACTCAGTATCTTTCACTTCTCTTGAACTGAAAGTGCCTTAAGTTATTAAAGAATTAAATTTTATCAGAAACATCAATTCGATAGACCACTTTAAACATGCAAATTCAAATAATAAAGTATGAAATTAGCTTGAACTGGAATTCAGAATAACCCCAACTAAGGTGGGCAAGGAGTTTCAAATCAGAAATGAAGGAGAAACTAATGTGCTAGGGATGTTTCCAAATGGGAGCTAAACCTGGTTCTATAGAGTAGACTTTATTATAGCAAAATAAAGATGTGAATGTCTAAATCAGTCACAAAGTACATCTAAAGGAGGACCAAGGTTGCAACCAAAGCTCAAAAATGAAGCTCCTTAATAACGACTATAACATGGAGCAATGAAAACTTAAAAAGTTGGTGCAATGGAGATAGGAATTTACAGCAATAAACATCTGAACTAAGGAAATACACCAGTAAATGAAAGCCAAAAATAACGATAAAAATACAAAGACCTGAAGCAAAATATAGCAGAATTATACAGCTATTTTGCCACATCAAAATCATCTCTGACATTTATATAAGAATATCACCGTATTTTCAGCTATATAGGTCGCTTCAGTCATGTTAATTGAGATTTTGCAGGACTCATAGAATTAAATTTAGACTTTTTTGTTGAATAGTTGTGCAAATAAATAAAAGCAATTCAAATGAAATTATCTTGAAGCAACTGATAATATCACAGGTTTTTGACCCCATAACTTCTGTATTACAAGCAAATCCACACCAAGCATGCTCCAAAAGATTACGAACCACCAAACTAGTCTATGAAAAAATCTTACAAAGTAATTTGGACATAATCATTTTATAATCCTTTTAAAGAACGCTAAATTACCAGTGAAATTGATTCTGAGAGGCTGGATCATATATAATATTTAAAATAGTATTAACTAACCTGTCAATCAAGTCTTGTGCCTCAAAGGACATTGTTTCAAGGATGGATGGCCGAGGGACTTGCTTTTTTGATAATATTACCAAAGCTAATCTGTCAAGCAAGAAATAGTAATGCGTTAATGAGATGACGTCCAATACCTACTGCAAAACTATAGAGTCCATCTAGTACCTGTCAATTGAAGGCAATTCTATCCCTCACAGAATCACACGTATATACTGCAGAGTGTGAACGATTCAGTTATGAACAAGGACACAAGTATGGATATTTATCAACTGTATAGATGATGTCAGACACTAAATAACCAAATTATGTGTCTCTAACTAAATTGAAAAACAAAAGTTTTGGATAGTCTGGCACATGTACTTTATTCCACTTCGAACACACTTAATCGAAAGAGTTATTTGAGGTTCAAAATTTAAAATGAGCAAAGAGATTCCAGAGTTAGAGATCCCTTGCTCCAGAAGGGCTGTCTTTATAACTAACAGTTCTCTAGTACTCTTGATATGCTACTGCTTGGCCTAGCCCCATATTAATTTTCACAAATCAGATATATCATTCCTATGTTAAAGCAAAAGCAAAAAGTTACTTTCAGCTCAAAAATTTTGAAAACAATTGAGAAGCATTTTATGAATTGACATATAATCTTAGAGCAACAAATAAAATATGATAGAGCAAACATATGTCCCTTCATGACCATTTTGTCCATAACAAATCACAGTTTCACCTACTTCACAGTTCAATACTAGTGCTAGAATTAACAATAGTGGAATATAAGCTTGCAAAAGAGGTGTATTGGTTCCATATTTTTAGTTTACTTTTAGCATCCGAGTCTTGTTTTTTCTACACATAGAAAATGATTCATGACTTATATAGGAGAAGTTGACATGAATTTAAATACCTAAAAGAAATTGTCTATTTTACCATTAGAAATTGTTTGCTCAAAAGTTATCATGTGCTTTATGAGTGCAAAACAATACAAATAAGTTACGGGAAAATCATAGCAAATCGTAATAATCCATTGGACCAAGCGAAGAACATGAAAATAAGTACTCAAGGTTAGGAGAAGAAATCTTAACAGCTTTTATTGATAATATTGGTTTGGTCTGCCTCTCCATGAAGAGGTTCAGAGCCTTACAATGGTGTTTTCTCTTCCCATAAGATGGGTATATTTTTCTCTTCTCTCTCTTTTGTCAATAGTGGTGAAGAAGCAGCCCCCCTTCTAGGGCTTCCACTCTTAGTATTTATAGATGTGAGCTTCGTGAGCTGGCAATAAATGGCCGTGGCCACGCTGAGGTTCCGTCCCCATGGGGGAATGACTGGGCCGTGCCCTCGTAGATTAAATCGGACAAGAGTCGAATCCTGTTATGAATAAGTGGTCATACCACTTATTAATTATGGATTAGCTCAATACGAGATTAACTCCGTTAATTACCGTGAGATCGGATTCTGACCCATACAGTTAGTCCCTCCGCTTATTGAGGTCGTGTTTCGGGCGAGCTCGATGAGCGGACTTAATCGATTGTGATTTTGGAAAAAAAAAAAACTCAAATAAGGGGGTCGACTTATTGACGGCGGTGGCCTTAGCCGTTTACACGTTGGAGATGGTCGTAGCCTTTCATATATTGGAGAGCCTTTCATACATTAGAGATGGCCGTAGCCTTTCATATAATGGCGATGACCGTGGAGAATGAGTATGCGCCGGGTACGTATTTGGTCACGTCCAGAATTTTGAAGTCGTACGGCGCATTCTTTCAGCGTTCGCAGGCCGTTGCGATTATTCTGACGGCGGGACGTTGGCGGATGGCTGAGAAGCCGCTTCGCGGATCTTGTCATAATGACGCATGCTTCGGCAGAACCGAACCGTTTTACGGTTGGTCGTGCAGTTAATGATGGCTATTGGGTTTCGCGAAAGCCATTTAAGTTGCCTATAAAGGTGGGTTGAGGCATTCATTTCTCATATCTTCATTGTTCATCTGAGAGAGATTCTGAGGAAACTTTTTCGTTCTGCTAATTCATCTTCTCCTTTCTTTCCTTTGATTGTGATAACCTTTGTCTTGCCCACCGAATTCTATCCCTTTCTCTTTAGTAGATCAACAATGGCAGGCAGTTCTTCCCACGATGCTCTTCCGATAGACTTTCCGATAGTTGAAGGGCCACCTCCGGCAATGGGAGGTGCAGAACAGATAGAGACCGGAGAAGTTCCGTCGGTTGACGAGGTAGTTCCTCGGCCCGGAGGTCTGGCGATTGATTTCACTGTCGACGGTGGAGAGGACCCGGTGGATGAAGCCCCGCTAATGGGGGAGATTGGGATGGCCCGATTACGGGAACAGGGGGTCATTCCCACTCATGCAGACATCGTTCTCGCTAGAAGCGAGGAGAGGGTCCACACCGACCGCAGGGGATACTGCGTTTTTTACGCCTATCCTTTCAGGTTGGGGTTCAAGATCCCGCTCCCAATGCTGGTGGTGGATTTCTGCCGTTATTACGGGGTGTGCCCGGGTCAGCTCACTCCTTCCCCAGAGAGTCCGTGGCACCATGATTCAGGCGTGCCCTCGTGGGTCGAGGGGCCTGGTCATGAGATTAGATGACGAGGTCGACCCTCGCCCTTTCGAGCACTTCTTTTATATCAGGACCAGGCATCTGGTGGCGGATGCTACTGGGTTGCCAGAGGCTTGGAACCATGCACGTAAGTTCTTTAGTGGTTGAATTCCCTTTTCTTCCCCTCTTTATGATCTGTGATCATGAGCGTTAACTCGTGTCGTTTTTTGTAGCCGACAGGTCGCCGACGGCCCCATTGTCTTGGATACGTGAGTGGGTCGAGGCCGTACTCCCCCATACAGTGGGGATACGCACATGGGCGTCTTTTTGGGAGAGGCATGGTCGTAGGCCTGTGGCAGGTAAAAATTGATTTCTTCTTCTGTTCCGCTTTGTTTCTACTCTATTCATCAACTTTGTTTTCCTGTGATCAGGGAGGGCACGCCGCGTCAGGGCCCCTCAGTTGCCCTTCCGTCGGCCTGGTGCAATTGCTCGGCTTACTACAGCGCCGGTGTCGCGCTCAATACCGAGGGCGGCATCAGTTGAATCTTCAGCGGTTCCTTCTCCAGCACGGACCCTACTTCGGGATGAGGGGCCATCGGGGGTTGTGCGCCCTAGAGCGGAATCGTCATCATATGGGGAGGAGGAGAGGCCGTTGATAAGGCGTAGGGTCGTGTTCACGCCGGCTCCTCCTGTGGTAATTAATTTGGACTCCCCCCCGGCGGATGCGGAGAGGAGTGCGGCGGCGGCGCCTGCCCTTGAGGGCGGACAAACAATGGGGGTTGCCCCGGTTGGCTTAGGTCGTGATGATACCGTCGCTTCGGCGACTCAATTGGTGGTTCCAGTCGCTGAGACGGGAGGTAGTTCCTCAGCGGCTGCTAATGTGGGTGAGGCAAGTGCTCCTACGGTGGCTATTGCGGGTGGTTCTACCTCGCCGGTAGCGGAAGGAGGAGGGGATGCTGTAGGAGATGAGTACGAGTCCGAATCCGACTTGGACCCCGACGACGTCCGTATGTTCCGGGAAGGCTTCACCAATTCAGTGGTGCGCGCAGAGGGGCGATCTCGCTTCGTCGAGGTTCCCACGGAGTTGAGCTTATTGCTCCAAGGGGAAAGCTTGGTGCCGCAGTTCGAGCCGCTATGCTCGGAGGCCGAGAATGCTCTAAGTTCATTTTTTTCGGAAAAAAGTGAAAAAATTCCTATGTTCAAACGGGCTCTAAGTTCGAATTCATTAGAGAAGAAGGCTTACAACTTATAATAGCTAGAAAAGTGGAGAGAAGCAGATGTTCTGCTGATCTCACCCTGTAACTACTTGACAGGGACCAAATGGGAAGGACTTTTAAAGTCTCACTCCTCAAGCCTCATGTACCACTCTTCAAAGCTTAAAATTCCTTGTGCACATATCAAATCCCACTTGTTACATTCCATGCTCTCCAAAATTTCTTGTCCCCAAAGAAATAGTGATGAAAAGCGATTGCGCGTTAGTTAATAATTACCTGCTCTGGAGCTGCATCCATCTACTGAACAAGAACTTGAGTAGCAGCTTTGTTTCCACGCTTAATCATTCGTATAGCTAGGATGGTGTTAGTATCTGCACAATAGGGACTGAAAATATCAACTACCGGATGGACGACCGTGGAATGAACCTCGTAGAAAGGCTTGGAATGTGGGGTGCACAATAACATGGTCAAGTAAAGAAAGTCTGTAGGTAACGGGACCAATTTTCTGAGGCTAGTTTGGTAGGGGCCATGATACTCAGAGGCGGATCCGAGATTTTAGGTTTATGAGTTCTGCATCCATAGCTTTTTTTTGCGTATTAAGTTCTGAAAAAATTATTTATATATTAAGTCAATTTCTTAACACAAATATGAGGCTTGGGCAAAGCTATTGGGTTCTACCGAATTGATAACTTCAACATTATTGATTCGCCCCTGAATATGTGAAACCTGCATGGGCAATCGATACTGCAAAATTTATTGGTGTTTCAATTAGCCGGAATATGCACGCTCACTATGGTTTCAGCAGCAGTTATAATCCAAAACTTTTCAGAACTTTACAGTAGCATAGCCGATAGAAAATCAGAATTTAGCAGCCGAAAGATCATTGGCATGCATAGCTAGGAGAAAATTCTGTAGGCAGCTTCCAGTAGTTTTCTCTTTTTCTCCCTGTTGGTATAATATTTGCCTATTTGATTTATCAGCTTTATAACTCCCCCATTGTAAATTTTGAGTTGGGGATTTTATACCATTTCAATTTTTTTTTTGATGAACTCCAAATATGATTATATTTTTCAGTCAAATGCACAATCTTTTTAGATACACAAGTTTGTAGTTTTTTTGCTATCCTTTTCTCGCCTATCCAAGACATACTTTTTATTACTTAAACTAGTCAATATGCCCGCGCTTTGCGCGGTTCTGAAAAGATACAATATGAATGAAATTTAATGTTAAAAATTTTATTGTTTGCTCAAAAGTTATCACATACCTTATGAGTATAAAACAATATAAATGAATCACGGGAAAATCATAGCAAACCGTAATAATCCGTTGGATCAAATGAAGAACTTGAAAATAAGTACTCAAGGTTAGGAGAAGAAATCTTAACAGCTTTTATTGACAATATTGGTTTGGTCTGCCTCTCCATGAAGAGGTTCAGAGCCTTACAATGGTATTTTCTCTTCACATAAGATGGGTATATTTTTCTCTTCCCTCTCTCTTTTGTCAATAGTGGTGAAGAAGCAGCCCCCTTTTCTAGGGTTCCCTCTCTTGGTATTTATAGCTGTGAGCTTCGTGAGCTGGCAATAAATGGCCGTGGCCACGCTGAGGTTCCGTCCCCATGGGGGAATGACTGGGCCGTGCCCTCGTAGATTAAATCGGACAAGAGTCGAATCCTGTTATGAATAAGTGGCCATACCACTTATTAATTATGGATTAGCTCAAGACGAGATTAACTCCGTTAATTACCGTGAGATCAGATTCTGACCCATACAGTTAGTCCCTCCGCTTATTGAGGTCGTGTTTCGGCCGAGCTCGATGAGCGGACTTCATCGATTGTGATTTTGACGGCGGTGGCCTTAGCCATTTACACGTTGGAGAGGGCCGTAGCCTTTCATATATGGGAGAGCCTTTCATACATTAGAGATGACCGTAGCCTTTCATATAAAGGGGATGGCCATAGCCTTTCATATATTAGAGACGGCCGTAGCCTTTCATATATTGGGGATGGCCGTCGCCTTTCATATATTGGAGATGGCCGTGGAGAATGAGTATGCGCCGGGTACGTATTTGGTCACGTCCAGAATTTTTGAATGCGTACGGCGCATTCTTTCAGCGTTCGCAGGCCGTTGCGATTATTCTGACGGCAGGACGTTGGCGGATGGCTGAGAAGCCGCTTCGCTGAGCTTGTCATAACGACGCATGCTTCGGCAGAACCGAACCGTTTTACGGTCGGTCGTGC